CCGGGCGGCGGGGGCCCTGGCACGGAGTCGGGTGGATGCTGGGCTGGTGGGAAGCTGGGCTTTTGCAGTCTTAGACTTTCCGCTCCCCTCTCCATCTTCCCGGCCCGGAGAGCTGACTGCGTCCCCCTCCTTTTAACCCTACTCCCCCGATGCAAGTCTCAATAGGCCCGGAACGGGGAAGGGCGATGGAGTCTGCAGCCGCCGCGCATCTTCCCCGCAGAAGTTTGCAAACAGTTAAATGTGATGCAGCAGAAATGCATTTGCTGTTGCCTTGCCAGGCCCTGCGGGATTTTCTTTAAAACATTGCCCCCCCCGCCCCCCCAACCTTATCCATTATTTATGTATTCGTGGGAGTGTGGTTTTGTAACCAGTTCAGATGAATTAAAACAAATACGCCACTGCAGGAAAGGGGCGGGGTGGGTGACTCAGGCCCAGGAAGGCCGGGGTCCTGTGCCTCTGTCCTTAGGCCGAGATCTTGGGCGGCACCTGCCTCCACCCGAGAGGCCGGTGAAGGCCGCAGGGAGGACGATGTGCGACACGGGGAGGGACAGAGAGGGCGCGGGGTGAGCACGGGCTCCCCACGCTCCACATGGAGCCCGAAGCAGGTCATCCTCGGATTATTCGGTAGAAACCGCCCTCAGGATCATGTCTCTGTGTTTTCTGATTCCCAGGTCCCCAGGCCACGCCACCCTCCTGCCTCCCGCAGCTTTTCTAACGACTCCGCCATGACTCCTGGGGAGACCGGACCCCAGCTTCCTACCTGGGGCGGGGCTGAGAGACCTGGGCTGCCCAGGAATGGACACAGAGTGGCCCTGCCACACAAACGCTCCGTTTCTTTTATTTTGAATTATTTAAACTTTATTTTCATGACAGCAGCAGTCTTGTTCTTTGTAAATTAAAGTAAAATAAGAAGGAAAAAAAAGAGCAACTGTCCATAATCTCCACCAAAATGCGTTCCCATCTTCAGGAGTCTTCTTCCGGCCTCTGTTCTATGCCTGTATAAACACACGCATATATTTAACTTCTTTCTTTTTAACAAAATGGGACCGCACGACTCACACTGTCTGGAATCTGCTTCTCTCCCTTAACGATATAACGTAGACCTCTTTTGGTGTCATTAAATACAGATGTCACTACATTTTAGTGGCTGTGGTGGGGCTGAGAAGGAGGTGGAGAGGAATGGGGAAGCGGTAAGGATCAGGGCTGGCTCTTGCTCTCATTACTTGTTTATCCGAGAAGATGATTTTTACATTCTGTGATGCAACACCAGTTCTTGCGATTTCAGATCAACCACATTAAAATTTCCGCGTCGTCTCGTCCCTGCATCTCTGCAGATTTGTCTGATCATTACCTTGGGAGAAATTACTGCCTGCCCCCCCCCCCCGCCCCCCGAATATCAACACCCTCTTGAGAAATAGCTGTTTGCTGGCCGGCCTCAAGTGGGCTTGGGTGTAAGAACAGAGCTGCCCTCCTGGGGGTGGTGGGGTGAATGGGCAGATGAGCTGTGTGCACGTGTGTGTGTGTGTTCAGGCTGGGGAGACAGGCAGCTGAATGGAGCGGATAAGCAGTAATCCACTTGTGAGTTCATTCAGCGGCGTCTGTGAGCCCCTTTAAGGCTTTGTGCTAAATCAGCAGAAGCAGAGTTGCCCAGGCTTGAGGTCCTGGTGCTGGAAGAAGGGTGCATTAATTCCCTATGACGACCATAACAAATCGTCACAAATTCAGTGGCTTAAAACAACACAAACTTGTTACCTTACAGCTCTGGAGGTCAGAAGTCCCAAATCAGTGTCACTGGGCTGAAGCCAAGATATCCGAGGGCTGGTCCTTCCGGAAGAGAACCTCCTCCTTGCCTCATCCAGCTTCTAGGAGCTGCTGGCATTCCTCGGCTCGCGGCGGCAGCACTCTGGTCCTTACTTTTGCCTCCCCTGACGGGCCTCCTGTTACGTGTGTTACATGCTGCTTCATCGGTGAAGTCAAATCCATCCCAGACCTGGTCTTCCTCTTTTCCTGCTGCCTACTATGTTTTTCCAGCATGGTTATTCTTTCCAAAGAACCCTGCCTGCTCAGGATGTGCCTGAAATAGGACAGCGTCACTTCTGTCATTTTTTGCCTCCAGCGATGTTTCAGGCTTAATTTGCTCTGTAATCTACTTGTTTGTCTTTCTGGTGATCAAGGGTATCTGTAGAGCTCTTCTCCAACACCATATTTCAAATGAATCGATTTTTTTTTTCTATCAGCCTTCTTCACTGTGATAGTGGAAGTGTATGTATGTATGCACATGCCCCCGGTGGCTCATAGCTAGAGAGAGAGAGACACATGCGTGCACACACACACACACAGTATATACTTACATGTTTTTTTTTTCAGTAAAACTCAGATTTAATTGTAAAAATTGAAAGTGTTTTTGTCAGCCCAGCCAGTGTTGCTCAGCGGTTGAGTATTGACCCATGAACCAGGAGGCCAGGGTTCGATTCCCAGTCAAGGCATATGCCCGGGTTGCGGGCTCGATCCCCAGGGGAGGGTGTGCAGGAGGCAGCTGATTGATGTGTCTCTCTCATCATTGATGTTTCCCTCTCTCCCTCTTCCTTCCTCTCTCTGAAGTCAATAAAAAAATATTTTTAAAAACAAGAAAAAGAAAGGCATCATTCCTATTTTTTTTAAAAAAAGAAAAAGCATTGGTCAAAAATAACACCAAACACTTTACATAGCACTCGCCATGTTTTTCTGAGTCCTCCAAGTGTCCTACAGACCATAGCCACCAATTTAATCCTCAGGACAATCCTACAAGGCAGCTACTATTATTCCACTTCACTGTTGAGGATACTGGGTTTCTACCCAACCATGGAAGACGCTGAGATGAACGCAAGTTCTCTGTCCATCAGACACCCTGCGTCTCCTCCCGCTGCCCGACGACATCTGCCATGTGATGTCATTTCACTTAGGAAGCTGTGGACAGAAAAGCTGAAGACGTGCCGTCAGGTGACAATAGGAGTCTCAAAGAAATGGACCATGCATAGTTCCTTCTGAGCCGTCGAGCTGTGCAACCATGCGCCCCCAGGGAAGGCTGACTATTTTTAGAAGGAGGGCAGTAGAGTCTTCTGGAAATATGCCCGACTACGGCCATACTTGGGCAAGGGACATGGGCAGCTCCAATTCTGGCAGAGGCGTCTTTTGGAAAGGCCGTTCTGACCAAGTCACTCTTCCACACGGAAGGAGCCGAA